TAATTCTTGAGCGGCCGCGACAGCGATTTGACTTTTAACTTGATCCATAACTTGTGCTCTCTTTGAGCTATCAAGCCCACCACTGGAGCTATCGCCTAAACCAAAATCAGACATTTTAAAGCTAAATTTTGTCGTGAAAAATTTRCTTTTTCTCTTGTCGTTTCTACAGCCACATGGGTTACTGAGCCCGCAGTACATTTGGCMAACCACAGGAAGCCCAACAAATCATGAAACTTTTCGTYTTTCTTTTTGTACGTGTGGAAATTTGCTATTATTGCTGACAGTCAGTGATATATTTATAATTTTTTAAAGAAATAAGGATTTAAATATCATGAGTTTAATTTTGATAAGACAAAAGACRATGCGTGCTGTGATTGCCCATTTTTGGAAAAATCTAAGAAAATATTTATATCACCGGCGTGCAACGCAGTATTATGTATCTTTTTGTGTATAAATCTCGTAAAATATTCCACGTAGTGAAATACGCCTTCATACGACCCTTTAAGTCTATTAATTTGTCTCCCAAATAAATGGGGTTCCTGTGTCTATGGCGCGAAAATTTTCCACAGGAATCCCGTAGATGAAACATGGCGGACAACGACATCCATTTCGATGTATTGCTAAAAAGGTAAAATATAAATTGCACGTCTTCGTTTGTGTAGTAAAACTAACTACATTAGTGCATTATCCAAACAATTATTTTAAAATTTATTCATTCTCTGTCTTTAAGTGAGGTTTAGCTATAAAATGGAAGGGTAATAAATCTAGCTCCTTCAACAGCGCGCATTCCGTGAAACAACTGCTAACTCGTAAACTTTGTAAATTAAGTTTTCATTTATTCACTCTTAAAAGACTTCAAACTTTCGTAGATAGTTCTTAATAAGCCCTTTTACGTTATTAACTTTAATACTCCAATTTCGAATTCTGGTTTGCTCTGTGTAGGCCTCAAAACCAAGCAACATTCTTTTGTTTTAGTGATATCCCGMGAAAACGCATGGAATTWGAAAAGAAAGACAATAGAATTCATTTGAAATCTCACACTTTTATTCTCACCATTAGGAATATTTTGCGCACAAATGAGGCTAACACAGAGCATTGAAGAATTCGAAACTGGATTATTAAACTTTATGCTATTTGGCAGAATTTAAGTTAAAGCTGAAATTTAAATAATCGATTTGGCATTTTGCAAAATTATGATCCAACTTGAACATAAAATATGCCACGATATTTTGCAGTGTATTTCATTATTATAAAATTTTGCATCATTTGTTGGGAAGGTCAAAGACAACTGGCTTATTCTCTGGTCTGTAGCGCACAGTCGATATAGATGCATTGATGAACGTAGTAACATTATTGGTTCGTATTCCATACCCTGAAATAAAGYATAATGCATTCATTTTAAGTTGCAAATTCCAGTCCATTATCTAAATACATTATGCACTCACTGACTGGAATATGGTTGCCTTGACTTGTGTGTTGTAAAATTTCATACATTTTCTATGACGGCAATGTTGAGGAGGTGGAGAGTTTTAAGTGTAGTTTATACACTAGCAAATTTGTCGCGTTGCGTGGGCAGAGATTTTTGCTGCAATCTTATTGTAAACCCAAATCAACGTGTAAACAGCCGGCAAATGCACAGCCTTTACAAGTCTCTCAAACCGTTTTCAATAGCGGCTTTGGTTCATGTAACTCTTCAGAATGATGCCTTTTAATTTTGTAGTCACTTTAAAGTAACCAGGGAGGGAGAGATTCGGGGCAAGTCTAGTTGTAGTAGCTGATTTGCTCATTGATTTTTATCAAATAGTAACATACTCTACCTTCATGAATATGACCATAAATATGATATTTTGGTTTAATGCGATTTTGCACAGCATCTAGTAGATGGAGGCATCCAGCCCGAGCGCCATTAAAGCAGTAATCACCATATCCTACAAATCAACACAATAACAAACTCCTTAGCTTGTGAAAAAAGCTTATTATCTTAATTATTGCATATCTTAAAATTGCATGACACTTGACGAGGGATAAACACTCTTGAAGTACAGGATAATATTAACTGTAAAACATACTACACATGCCTATAAATAAATAGAACCATGCTTATTAGATGCCAAAAGTTACATTTTAGATCAACGCTATGTGTCAAGAAGAACAATCTCTTAGTAAACACTTAGCATGAATTAATGAAGGTCTACAATAGAAGACTGAAATGGCTTAATAATTTTATTATATATCTAAACTGGAGACAAATAATTTAATCTCAATCTTAATGATTATTTGCAGGTGGTCTGCAGGAGCCTTTTCTGTTACATGCTTAACATGCATACTGTACCACATTGGGGCTTGCTCACTCCACTTACCTAATGGTGGGCCATGAGTGACCAGCACATCAGTATCATCAGGTATTTGGTCCCATTTTTCTTTAATTGTTTGTCTGTTCATCATGAATGCCCAATTTCCAAACTCAGGAACCCTGACATATAAAAAAGGTAATTTTGCTGACAAATGTAATTTTTTAAAGGGACACTGTCAATGGATGACATGCGCAGTAACAGTCTCACCTCTAACGGACTTTGAAAGTATTACCTTTGAGGTAAATCATTTTGTGGTGATTTTGACATACTTTGGAATATTCTAGATCTGTTTATGTTTACAAGCTGATTTATGTCGCGCCAACTTGGAGTCATAAACTTGAAAACACTAGCCTAGTGTTTTCAAGTTTACTCACGCATGCATGCCATTGACAGTGTCCCTTTAAGTCAAGTCGTATATTTTCAGCAACCAAAGTTGCACCAGACAAGTCACATTGTGTTTTGTCAATCTTAAAAGAAGTGCAGATGGTTATCGAGACAGGACCATGGTCCACCAGCATTCAATGCGGTCGGGTTTTAGATTTTTCAAATATGGAAAATGAGATGACTTCATATTTGCATTCACAATCTGTTTCCATCAGTTCGTTTTAAGATGAAATCTTACAAGAATATCTCCATTCAAAGAGCATAAAGGGATAATAAAGAGTAGGTTTTTGCTTATATTATTAGAGTGATCACACTTAAACTGTGCAACTGTACAAACTAAATAGTGCTATTTAGTTGTATTTAGTAAATCGTGCATGTGGTAACCCAAACCAAATTGAATTGATACAAATGAGGTGTTAATTGCTGTCTTTGCTTCAGGTCCACTTTAAGGCCCTGTTTAAATGAGATAGGGTGCTCCTAGGTGTAGAGCCAAACTCTTTTGTTTTCAATCCTCCAGGGAAAAGAAAACAAAAGAGTTAGCCCTACCACCTACCACGTAGGGGCACCTTATCTCATGTAAACAGTGCCTTTAGTACAAATTAGTTCATGGCAATGTTTTAAAGTGCGATCACTCCATGACATATTTTTATTTACAAACAAAGCTTGTAGAGTGAACACATTTAATCCGTGATTGATCTGCAACTGAAGCTGAAAATCATTTGAACCATCATTGTTCTTAATAATCATTAATCTCATGTTTACTAAATTGCACAAAATAGTACAAAAAGGCTAAGTTAAATTTCACGGATTAAGTGCGTTCACTAGGGGTTGCCTTTTGACCACAGCTCTTTGAATCAGTACCATGGTGATCCATAAATGCGTATTCCATTTATAACAACTTCTGAATCCTCCAAATAGTTGATTTTACTTGAATCCAGCAAAGMTTTGACTTCTTTGACCTCAAGCTTTTGCCCCACAGATCCACTCCAGTAYGGATACARAAAYTCATAATTCTCCTCRTCAAAAGCTATATCGTGATTWCCAGCAATCACAATTTTATGTGGATGGTTCTGTRAAGTCATAAACTTATTGAATTCAGCTACTTCCTCTCTCTTGCCAACCATRGTGAAGTCGCCTGCATGKATCAAAACATCTCCATCAGGAATTGGATGCGTGAAGTTCTTCATCGAGTGAGTATCTGATATACAGACAAATCTTGTATGGTTTGGAGGTTTTGTAGAGCTTGAATCCAGTGGCTCTACGGTGTTTACAGCCTGAGAAACTTGAAGAACATCCCAAGCATGTCGGGGTTGGAATGTGTATCTTTGAATAACTTTGTCAAACTTTTCTCTTGGRGACGCCGAGCTTTTCTTCAATCGGAAAAGTTTTGACATGACATCGAAGTTGAAACTGTTGTCTTCGAAAATCTTCGCGATAAATAAACCTTGACTTYATAGAAAATGCTTACATTGCGAAAGTTTTTTGACAGGTGACGTCGTTCGTATATCGTATACAAACCAAAGAACGCAAATATTAACCAGGCGTTCCGTTCGCATGGATCAAAACTACTACTCCCTCCCCATTGGGTATTTTTTGTTCGTTACCAGTCGTACTCGTCTTCTTTGAGGAAATATAATTCGGTCGAAAAGTTTCKWGGTATTCTTCTTCTTCGAAATTTMACACTAGCWCAGCTTTTAGAACTTTTTTAGAAATTTTCTTATTTTTGATACCATTTATCTACTCTAAAAATGGCGCCTAAATCTAAATCATCWCAAAATCCGAAAGTTGTCCAAGAAGGTGGAGGGATTCCGTTCTTTCAAATTTTCATATTTTTGATAGCTACTGTTTCAATGGCAATGAACTTCGCAATCATCACGGGGAAAATCCCCATAAGAGGTGAGTGTTCTTTAAACTACTATGTTTTTTTGAAGTACTATATATTACATTTATTTGTAACGGGTCGTTCCTGCGCGTCGTTCGATTTGTTTATATAATCTTATCCCTGGAAGCTGGGGAAAAAATAACTGTTACTTTTGCGAACTTTTAGGATGCGAAGGACCTATTGGAAAGACAGGGGAAAGAGGTACTATTTATCGATTTCTGTGATTGAAAGATTATTGCTGTTTGGGTTGATGATTCCGTGATCTTTTGTTCTGATTCAAATTCGTGAAAGTTCGRTTCGATTCGATTGAGTGTTCCAAATGGCACTTGAATGGGTTTTAAGAGTAATATATTGTTTCGATGAAGTATTCTTTAYTCTTTTTTTCAGGATTAACTGGCCKTRCAGGAGAACCTGGTCCGCAAGGTTAGTAATACAGTAATTCTCCAAGCTCTTACTGGTACATAATTGTCATTTCTTAGACCCAATCTGTATATCAAAACAAAAAAATACACAAATCAAAATAAAGATAAAATAGATCTTTAATAAGATTTCCTCTAAATAAACCCAAATAAAAGAAGCATTTAAATTGCAAATTTAAAGCCTTTAAAATAAGATTTTATACATTTCTTCGAGAAGACTTGATCGAACGTTCGAACGCTAATGACCCTTGACGTGTTTCTATTTCGTCTACGTGAATTTTACTAATGTAAACGCTCTAAATAAAATTAAAGATGTTTATTTAAAAAAATTCTAAAATATTTAAATCCTTTAGACATACGAATARTACGAATAAATTATTAAATATACTTTGGATTCCTGAAATGCAACATAATCGGGGCACTCTCTGTCCACGTGGCAAATTAGAAGACTCGATCGTTGCTGGGTGATTCGGTGCCCGCGCCTGTTGTGTTCCCATGGCGTTCCACAATAACTCATTGTTTATTTTTCTAAATAAAAGACAGTTTTTGCAAATATCTATTGTGTATCTATCTTAAACTAAAATACATATTTGTAGATATAAGAATTATTGGATATGCTGTAACTT